GGAAGTGGAGAAGGGCTTCCCATGGAAGTCCAATGAATGTCCAAAGTAGGCACTTTGGAAACCGTCTACGAGCCTAATTCATCATCCAATTCATTGCAGCACGATACACCTCGGAATGCTCGAAGTACACTGCGATCAGGTGATTTGACAATATCCACGATTTTTTCATGAGTTCCTTCATTACTGAGTGCATTTCCTAGGATTTAGAGGCGATGTAACAGTTGATTGATTCGATTCGCGTCGGAAAAAAAACTAAGGATCGATCGATAGTGCCATTATTGATTGGGGGATGTCTCATCGTCTCCGTCGGATGATGAGTGCCTAGGAATGCCATTCGTATTTCATTTATGCCTGACTGAGCGAGATGATAAGCTTATCTACGGACGTTTGCAACTTTCATTCCACAGTTAGACGACTCGATTCGGGCTTCCGATTCCAATTCGAATCGGGTAGTGCGCGCGACGTCCAATGAATTGGAATTTTCGGTATTCTGTTCGCCTTCGTTCAATCAGCTCGCCTGCATTACGTACCTCACGTATTTGCCTCAATAACCATTTTATATTGTGAATCTGCTGCGCTTTCAATCACTAGCATATATTTTTCATTAGCATCATATTCAGATGTGCATAGAATGAAAAGGGGATCATACCGAAGACCGAAAAAAAGAAACTCGGCTGCAGAGTGAATTCGCCGAACCTTGGGGTCGTCTGATCTAGCCGACTCTTCGCTAATTAGGGGGCTGGGAGTAAGTGGAGAACTGGGAAGCAGAGGCTGCCTTAGCATCCGTAGAAGGGAATTGCGAATTCAATCATTGTTTTCCAAGGGTAAGAATAGAGATAAGCAAAACGAGCGGTGTCGTACGCCCCTGGATATCCCTTCCCCTGGTCATTAATCAACCACTCGGCAGTTGAACCTTGCTTTACCTGGCCAGCCGCTTGACAGGTTAATTGTTTCCTTTGCTTATCTTTTTTCGACCCCGGGGTTAAGGGAATGCACTCGTATGCACCAATGGATCACGAACGCATTCCTCATCTCAATGACCGTCCCCAGTGAAGACTAGAAGTGAGAGTAACACTCCGATGAAACCCGGGATGAGGATGACGCAGAGGAAATGTCTTAATACTTTGATAGATTTTTCTAACAAACATGGAGAAATTGTTATGAATCGGCATAGCCACTCAGCGTTGTCTCTCAAAAATCATTGCACGACGTCAAATGTGTAGGGTGCATAGAAGGATTGATCAATCTTCTCGGCGAATACGTCATAAGTTCTCGGCAATCTAGGCAATCACAAATGTGCTTATTGTATATTTATTAGTTTATTAGGGAGCTATGGGTTTGTTTAAATTCATTTAAAAAAAAAAGGACCCTTCGTCATTCTAAGAACAGACACTTATAGGGATCACGAAAGGATGTTTGCGATTCAAGAGTGAAGCTGCCGTGCGGTAGACTTTTGAAAAAAGCGCACCACTTAGCGACAATATCAGTCAGTAGAAATGATCTTTGCAGGGGAATTCCACTACCATCTCTATCAGTTGCAGTTCACCCTAAAGGGAAGTGAAATAAACTGTAGCTCATCCGTTGCCGAGAAAGATTTGGGCTTGGGTCAGAAGTCTTTGCCGGACGTATTTTCATTGCGCGCCAGGAATGATCTAACATCTTTCGTCACATTAAGTAACGAATCCGTATATGCTTGTGTCATGCCCATACCAATTTCAAAGACTGATTAGGGAGTGGGAGTAAGTTTTTGCTTCCCTTTAGGGTGAACTACATATGATAGAGATGGTCATTGTTAGTTGTGAAAGTTGTAAGGTGATTCCTGGTCCGCCATGACGATATGTCTGGTCAGGACTTCTGGTCCAGCTCGAAATATTTCTCGGCAACGAGTGAGCTGCAGTTACTTTACTTGCAACCCGAAATGTTGATTTAATTATTTCCCTAGATTCTGGACGGTATGGAGCAGACAATTTGTTTGCTCAGTTGAAAAAGCACAAGATCTGCACAGCAGAAAAGGCCATTTTCATAAGGGCATTTTTTGGAGCTATTGCTCATAACCGGCAGGTTGTTCCACCTAGAAAGTTCTATCTTGTAGAAGGTTAAAAGGCCAAAATGTTATGAGCAAGCGTGGGTCGCAAAGTGCAGCGTAGTAAGGGGATCCTCTACTGTTTCGCGATAGTTCGTGCGAAAGCGAATCGTCAGTTCGTGGCTTATTCCCGAATCCCTTAGAATGGGTTATGAGAACTTCATGAAAAAATCAATCTAACCATGATCTAACAACGAATTAACGTTCTGGTTATTCGATGGAATGCGAGCGGACTTGTCATTTCCGGCGTTCGCATTTCCTATCCCAGTGCCAATGGAATAGAATTCTATATTTCAAGCTCCCAAAATTTACCCGGAGCCTGTAGAACAGGATTGAATGCATTTTACCCAAGGATTTTCTAGTCAATCAGTCAACAGGTCCTTGTTAGGTGCGCCCCCCTTTCATTAAGCGAGCCGAAGGGAGATGGAGTGAATGCCCTCATCGTCGTATGCCACAGAAGAGGAGGACATTAATTTAGGAGATGTATATTCCGGCAATCCCCTCTCCCTCCATTCATCACATGCGAGTCGGATTGCACGAAAAGGTTTCTGACTCTTGCTTCATGCAACCAGGCCCTTGCCTTCCCTCGGGGCTGAATGTGTTAGAAATTCCCGTGGCTTCCACGCTCCTGCTGTTTAGTCACTTCCACTCCCTCCTCCCGCAGTACAAGTACGTGGTTTATATTGCTTTTGAGTGAAATGACCTCTTCATTGCGTCATTCCGGTTGAACGAGTAGGGCTTGCACTTCATCTCGTCGACCCACATTGCTCCCCGGGAAACAGGTTGGTCTTTCCTATAAAAACTTCGGAGAACTCCTTCGCATAGGGACGTCTCTCTCAAACTCCTCTAGACTCGAGCATTGCCTCTTATCCACTTGGAAGCCTGCGAACTTTTTCGATCTCTTTCTGCCCGCGTCATTCTGAAGTAAAGTTCTGGGACGCCTCTCGAGTTCTTTCTCCGAACGACCTTGACACATCTCGAGTGGATATGATATCAGATCGTCCTGGAATGTTCTCCTGCATTATGGGAGGAAACCGCAGCTCGTTCCGTGCATTGCGTCATGAATGCCAGGAAATGACTTTACGTTCTTGTTCGACAATTGTGTGACGTGCAAGAATTTTTATTATTATCCTGTCATCACATCCCATGGCGTGGGCGTCCCGGTCAGACCTAGACTAATGTCCTTAGGTACATGTAGTCATCCATTTAGAGGAGAATCACCATACAAGCACATCTCAACCCATAAATGGACGACACTGGCTTCGCCAAAAATGGCCTCCATTCAACAGTGTCGTAATGGCCGTCGAAAGCTGCAATTGGACAAGCCGATCTGGATTTGAATTAGTCACTACCCTCGGGGCATCTCGTGCCTTTCAACCCACTCTCTTCTGCAATCCACTTTTCCATAAAAACGGCGAGTAAGGAAAGAAGAATTTCGGGCTTTCTAAAGACGTCTTCTAAATGCGGAAAAGCGGAGTTTTAGATTTACGGCGGATGACTGTTCTTTCTCTCTTACCGACGAGACAATGCCGACAATTTATGGCGACGTTGTAGACCAAGTTGTTAACATTTTCTTCCGCGTGTGGTCGCTGGAAAACGAAGAAAAGGTTGCTCTCTCGGATTACGTCGTTTTTTATTTCCCTCTCAGGTATGCAGGTGCAGGGAAAGTCGTTTATTTCTTCTTTGCAAGTAGCACATTTTCTTTCTTGGTTCTTCCCACCCTCAGGTTCATGTGACACCAACGCGAAATGCCAGACGAGGCATTTATTCCATCGGTTCATTTGTTAACGCCTTGTTTCCGTGTGGGAGGGATGACGCATTCTAACTCGGACCTCGTGCATCGGCCGAATCGGTATGGCATTCCTTGTACGAAGGAGGAAGATGGATGAGAATGTTTGGGGGGAAAGGAAAGGAAAATGATGGTAAAAGCCGGTCGGGAAGACCTTGGCAAGATCTCGACGAGAAGGGAATGATTATTTCCACAAGGGGAGTAATCGAGTCATCAAAACGAAGAAAAACATGGAACGCACTCCGCCCATTCACTTGCATTTTGACTGATCACTCGCTTCCCCTATTACCCTCCGGTCTCGTGTACAAAGTCCTGAAGAAGCTCGATGCTTTTGATTTTAAAATGAAAAATGGAAATCGTGACTAACTCTCCTCCAGGAGTCTGAAAACAGGTAGAAAGGAAGTATTTTCTTCCTTCTTGGAGGGGAGAAGAAGGAAAAAAAAATAAAGAACACGGAACGGTAGATACAGCAGCAGTCCCGTCGGGTCTAGGTGATTTCGTATTCCAGGCATGAAGGGAGACTGTTTATGAACGATCATGAGAGATGATAAACCGTGAAGCAGCTCGTGGAGGAGGGGGGCAAGGAAAACGAAGAAAGAAAAAAAAATCAAGTTTAGATGAAAGGAAGTTCTTGTTCAGCCCTCTGCCTCTTTGATCTCTGTCAAATTCCGACTCACAGAGGGTTCCTGTGGTCTACTCTTCGGCACGAATGGTATTAGCAAAGCGGCGGCAAGGCGTCTATCTACCATTGAAGGGGAGAGCGGGAAGGGGCTCCATGATTTTTATGGATCCTGGTTCCAAGGCCTGTTAATCGCTGTTATTGCCGTGAAGACAAAAGGGATGGACCGACACTGTAACGGTTTTCCCCTCGCCTCCTTTCCCTTCGGTCTTCCGAGCCATGAGAATTTATGACGAATTCAATTACCTCATTTCAGTGGGATTGATTGGTCTTATTTTTTTTTTACTGAGTGGGTCAGTGCCCAAGAAGGGAGTCTCATCTTGTATGCAAGCAGCATTGGTCAACCTTTCAGCATCTCATTTTTATTCTTGGAACAAAAGCCAATGTTTTGACCTGGAGTGTAGGGCAATCGCGAGCCTTCTGTGTTTGGAGTCTGAGGAAATCTCGACATGCGCTGTGTTTTCCTCATGCCGGTCACGTGCAATGCGGGCGAGGTATCTGGGAAAAGTCTTGCCCTCCTCGCTCAACGGGTTCTTGCTCAATCAACCTACTCCCCATTTTGCTATTGGAGATATTTACGGTGACGTTTCTTTGTAGGTTGAAATCTTCCGGACCATCCCTAATGAGTTAGAAGAAAATTGTTGCCAAGAGGAATTGCAGTTGCCTCGCTCCCAAATCAAAAAGAAACCACGCCGAAAACCCCGCAGGGCTCCTTCTTGCCCTTTGTCAAAACGAAATTGGCAGAAACCCGAGAAATGCATCCAACTCGTGGAAAAAGCGCGGCAACGGCGGCAGGCGGTGCAGCAACGCCTGGAAAATCGGGAAGCTGACTTAGAAACTTGGAGTGAGAATTTGTTTGCGGAATTACTCGTCGCGGTGCAGTCTGAATTGGGACCAGTGGATCGGAGACGCTGCCGTTCCCAAAGACAGAAGTCTTGCCCAGGATTTCAATTCTTCATCGGGAACAGCATACAGGAACCGGTGTTGCGAGCCGAATCACCTCATGAAAGCACGAGAGGGAACGAAGGTGTCGCTGCGAAAAGCGAAATCACCAACAGGAAGAACGAGAGTCTCAGCATGAAAACCGGGAGTGCTAGCGGAAAGTACGAGAGTCGCAGCGAAAGGAGCGGGTGTGCCGAAGAGAAGGCCAGCGGTAAGCGGACGAGCGTTCGCGAAAGAAGGAGAGCCGCGGAAAATGGTTGCAGTGGCTGCAGCAGCAGCAGCAGTGAGAGGGGAGAGGAAGATCGTCCACGGAAGGGGAGACGTCGCCAGAAACAACGGAGTTATTCCCTGACGGCTGGTGAAAGGGTGTCTGTGTCCGTTCGAGCAGGAGGGAAGTGTGCTCGCTCCCATTCCTTCTCCAACCCTCCTGGCATGAGTCGGCACTACAAACACTCCACCTGTTGGTTCTCGGATCCCAATGAAGTGTTCATCAAAGGTGGTTCGGTGCGGTATGACTTCAGGCAGCACCATCCTCGGGAAAACGACCACGTGAGTCTCTCCGTTTGTTTTCTTCTTTCTTCAGTGTTTGTTTTTTTTCTCTCTCTCGCTCTTCTCATCTTATCGGGGAAAAAGGCAACGCACGATTAGCATTCATTATCCCGTTGTGTGTTTTGCGTAATCTCATGGGGAGAGGACTTTGAAGTTGATGGGAAAGCATGATTAGGAATAGGGAAAGAGTGATGATGAAGATGATGTTGGGACGAGGGGAGGCATGGAAATGGTGTTTACAAAACACGAAAACTCCGCTCGTATGTTTCGTTTCGCCATTTCGCATCTGCTGCGTCTAAACAGCTCTCCTCCACAATGGAGTCCGTTGCGCAACACCAATGCCTGTATTCAAATGCACATGGCTGCAGATGATTGGGTCATCCACTTCTTTCTAATCACTTCATTGCTACATAGTATGTAACACGGTACAGAATATCTGTTTCATTGAGGGAAATGCCGGCTGATACACAATATGCCGCAGGAATTGGTATCCTGACAGATCTCATTGAGGATTGTCTCTCATCACAAGGCTGAGATTCCAAAATAGTTTTAGCTGCATAGCACGCAATTATCGATCTCTCAGTCAGAAACCCATTAGTTTAACTAGGCTTTTGCTCATCACTTACAGATAGGAAATAGATATGCTGGAGGGCAGTCGTTGGCTACACTCTGAATGGAATCTCGTAGCCTCAGTGTAAGTCTATGATAAAGAACCGGAGGTGTAGCCCTAGGGAAGGACGGCTCATGTTTTCTTTGTCGTTGTCGTCGTCGTCTTCGTCATCATTGCATTGGCCCCAGGCTCGTGGCCCATCAGGCACGCATCCATGCTAAACAGGCATCTCAGCAGGGATGCCTCGACACAGCTGGCTTCCATACCTTCTCCTTATTCTGCATCCCTACATTTTTCATCATCCTTCTGAGGGGGGAAAGGCCTTGGGAGAAACGACACCATTGTCTTCTATATCCTTTGCATAATCACCCTTTTGCTATACAGCACGACAGGGAATTGAAGGGGTTGCGACATTCTGACACTTCTGAGTTGAAATGTAGAAATCCTAGGAATTGGGGGAAAATGTCAAGTGACGAACAGTTCCCAAGCATTAAAAATGGAGGAAACTGGATATCTGACTAGAGAGGTAAAAAAAATAGGCTCAATAATTGGAATTGGCCATTCTTGGGCCGAGTTGCTGTTTTTTAAACTTCCTTTGCCGTGTAAATCTTGTCTTGCGATTTGCAAGAATTTTTTGTTATAAGTTTGAAGCAACTGGAGAGATGACCAACTCCGTGACAAGAATAAAGGAAAGAGTAGAGTGATTCGTAGTGTAGAATGTCTCGATGGAATGCGAATTGGGATGATGAATGCATTCCCTTCACTCTTTTACTCGTGGGGCACAAGGGAGTAGTCCTCGTCCACGTGGATCATCATCATCACAAAGAGAGAAAGATCATTCAACTTGATCATCTATCTCTCACTCTCTGCCCTGATTCTTTTCAATTCCCGCTTCCTGTCTCATTTGGACAATAATGGGGTTTGTGGTAAAAGGGATGAACGGCGCGACCTTTCCCACCTCTATCCGTGTAATGGGTGCTAAGTACCCCCATTTCACGAATCGCCTCGGGATCCCCATTCTTCCTTTCTTTTCCTTCATTCCATTTTATTCGAGACAGTCGATCGTGAAATAAGGGAAGGAAGTGATGCAGCATGAAACAGCACGCCATTAGAAGTGGACCTCGCGCGGTCGATTGGTTTTAGTTTTTTCTCTTCCAGTAGACCTTGAAGAATGCTTTATTTAATTTAGACACTTTTCAAGCAGCATTTGCCGTTGCGTACATTCGTGTATGCCATCAATGCTATTCGAAATCATGTGGCATGATTGCGAAGTAGTAATCGGAGGATCCTTGGATCCAGGGATTCACCTCAATCATACAATGAGTATTCCGTGTTTACTGCACAAACAAAAGTGGACGCAGGTCAATGCAGCATTGATACCAAAGACCATTTTACCCAGCGCTTGTTAGAAAGCGGTATCTACCAGCCGTCTAACTTATGCAATAGGAAACAAACGGAAGTCTTTTACGACGAAATGCAAGCATACAAGCATGAGTATTTATTGGCCTGCTGAATGCCTTAAAATAGCTATGGCTAACCCACTCTACACATTTACGAGGTGTGTAACCTGTGGAACAGGTAACTCAGCATTGGAATAGTACCTGAGGTCATGACATATACAGATCAAGGGATGCCTCGGCTGGAGAAAAAGTCCAGGGATCTGTCGAGACCCACAGAATGAGCTGCTTGCTTAGTTGGTAGTAGCAACGCTGGGAGTGTTGCCTGCAGTAGTAAGGAATATATCGCCGTTCAAGACCGGTCGTTGTAGTTACTGGAGTGATCGTTGGTGGTCGAGCCTTCACTACACCGCTCTAGGAGGAAGCTGGAACTGTCCCGGCCGAGTGCTACATATAGAAGTCTGTCTATCTTGATTCTGACTTCCTTTCCACTCTGACTGCGCCACAGAGACTGCACTCTCTCCACTTGACCTGACTTGAGACTATTTCTTTGCGTCGCTTTGGTGTTTCCTCCTGAATTCTCGCTCTATTCACTGCTGCTTCAATTTCATTCCAGGGAACAAATTGAAAGAAGTGATGGAAAATCATGTATTGTATCAGGTCTACAAATGCTTTGAGAAGTAGCAAAATACAAGGAATCGTGACATCTTCTTCGAGAGGCGTTTACATAACTTCCTGCTCTTACCAAAGACCCAAAGTATTTCAAACGTAGGGAATCATGAATATATATTGGCTGGAAAAGAAATGGTAGCGCATCAATGTTTCTCGCACTTTGATCACTCTACTTTTAGCTTGCCATGTATAATTTTCACTATTAAAAGGCTTTCCTCTTTATTTTTAAACATCCAGAATGTGAGCTGGGTTGCCGGGAATGTTATGGATAAGGGTGAAGTGTACCAGAGTGGTTTAATGATCTAAGTACAAAATAACCCTCTATGGGAATCTGTTGGATTATGCGAGCATTTCAAATCGAGCAGATGAAAAACGCATCAGATGGACGTCACAAGATGGGCAAAGTGGATTATGCACCGTATGCCCCCCCCCCCCCCCCCCCACTTTCCTCTTCTCGTCAAGCTGGCAAAACCAGTTGCGGTCATTCCTTACCGATGTTGTTTTTCCATAGTTTCTATTTTCGTCCTTGTGAGAATCTTGGACTCTTTCTCGGCCTCATATTCTTTCGGTCATGTATGTTTTACTGTTGTGATACCTGCTCTTTGCTTCTGCAAGGTCCAAAATGGCAAAGCACAACCGCATAAAAAGGAAGAACTTAGTTTGCTCCAATTATTTATTCTTTCTTGTTATTATAATGATGAAACCGCATGAACCATTTTCTGAAGAAATCGATGTTCCGCTCTCTCTCTTTGCGCTTTGAGTTAGGCCTAACAGTAGTGGTTCTCAACCGGTGGGTCGTGACTCACTGGTGTGTCGTCATGTTCTAACTGGTAGGTGTCGAAAGGATCAAAGAAACAAAGACCAACTTGTAATAAGTTAAAGATGAATATACATATAGGCAAGTCAAATGTGCCAAATCTGGAGTCCCGATCGGTATGTGTATTTTATTGTTACATGGTTCCTGATCAGCGTTCAATCTCTTGAGTCGTTCTTGCTGCTGCCAAGTCTTTTCTTCACCAACTCTCATCATCTTCATCAGTATTGTGGGTTCAAAACGTGCTTCATTTAATCCTACTTATATATCCGAAATACTCCTTAAAAATCGTGGAGAAAATTTTCCTTTACCCAGTTGCAAAATTGCGAGTGCCATGTGGGGAAGTGAGAATAATCCGGTGCGGGGCTCCGCGTTCCTCACTTCAGAATTTCGCGTTCCCCCTCATGATTCTTCCTGACTGATGAAGATTTGAGAAGGTGGAAAAGTGCAAAATAACCCCTTCCGATTCAATTGAGAATGAAGCTACCATGTTTTATTATTTCTTTCGCATTTCCGCAGATGTATCCGCTTTATTTTCATGCGACACCTACTCTCCCTATTCGCTGGGTGCATTAAGTTGGAGACATCTGGCGGCAGGAAGCATACAAATGAGCTGGGGGAGTCAAACGCGCAAGCTTCAATGCGTTTCTAACGGAAACATGCAGATAGAGACTGTTTTACTACGAAAATGCTACTTTTTCTTTGCCAGAGGGATTTCCTGAGGCCAAGACTGATTATATAGTATGCAATCGATGGTCTGAAGTTTCTACTTGGAGCATCCAGACAGCCTGAAAGGCCTGTTATGATGTTTCTTTCAGTCTAGGCCTTCGCTTTCCATGGGCCTATGAAAATCAAATTTGGCATTTGCCGTTACAGGATAAATAGCCAACATTTACCCTTGACATGATACGTTTCATCATGAAGTACTAATTCAAAAAGGGTTTCTTTCATGGGCTATGATTTATGCACAACTGATAGGAAAAGAAAAACTAGCAGCACTTAAGAGAATACAGAAGCAATGAGAGTCAAAACTTCATCAAGTTTAAAGTAGGGTTGGGCTTGATAAGAAAAAAATATTGGCAAGAAAAAAGCAAGATCTTGTCAAGATGACAACAATGCACAGCGGGCCAGAATGGCGAAAACGATATTATTTTATAGTGAATGGAAAATTTTGAATATTGCTTTTAGAACATGTTTAGCTAAATTCATACGATTTTCGGGTTATTCCACGCAAATTTTAACCTTTACACGCCGAATCACACCCTGTTCGAACAGAGCATTTAAGTGGAAAAACGCGAATGTTGCCATATTCGAACAGGATGGAATCTTCCTTTTCACAGGCCTCTGTGCCACACCCATCCTACTTATTTATGTCTCATAATCAGCTGCTGATTTAGAATTTAAGTCAGAACTGGCCGGTGAAGTCCTCGACGTCATTTAAAGTCGGTGTACGAACCTTCTGTCGGATTTTCTTCTGACATTTAAATGAAATGCGAAGTATCTTAGAAAATAACCATATCTATGAAACTACACACGTCAGAGGAACAAAATTGTCATGGGAATTCTTTGTATTTCATTAAAAAGTGCTTGGTTTGCCATTTCTAAGGACAAAAAATTCGAGATTGGCACTGGATGGCTTGGAGAGATATGAATATTAGACTGCAGCAGCAGTGCCAAAATTCCACTTATTCCAACCGTTTGACCGACTTCAGTGACCGAAATCTGCACGTCCCCCTCAACGAATCCCGGGATGTATACTGTACATCAATGAAAAAATACTTGTTATTCCCTTTTTATCTTCATACGAAATTCAAGGTTGGCACTTAATTGCTTCATGAGATAAAACCATTTGACTACACCTACAGTGCACCGTTACATGCAACTGGGAATAACATTCGCAAAATTTCAATGAATTGATTGATCAAGTGCAATTAATTGCTTCAGCTTCGGAGATTACTGCTTAAAAACAATTTAAAGACGACAAATTCGTAATTAAATGACGCCAGAATGAAGCTTGTATTTTCACCAGAGTAGAAGTTATTGCAGAAACAGTTTCCCAGTTTCCAGTCCGTATGGGCACCAGGAACGAGAAATATGTTACATTCAATTGCATATATCTGGAGATCTGTGCAAGAGATAAGCATTTGTTGAAATTGGTTTCTTTAAATCGATTCCTCTACGTGTATGTCGATTTTCGTGAATATCCGAGATGGTCGATCTTTTGCTCTGGTCGATTTGGAATGGCATTTCATTTGGTATTTCATTTTATGGTATTTCAATGGTATTTTATTTTATCTATTGTATAGGTTATATGAGTTTGAATTCCTTTTTTAATTACAAATGACCATAATCTATTTGCCGAATATAACGGAACATTACCTGCAAGACAGGTTTTGCTTTCCAACTATGCCAATTTTGTTCCTCTGACGTGTGTCTAGTTTCGTAGAAATGGTTATTTTCCTAAGATACATTGTATTTCATTTTCATGTCCGGAAGAAATTCCGGCAGAAGGCTTTTACACGGGAAATTTAATTCCGGCGTGTAAAGGTTACATACATACATACATACATACATACATACACATACATACATACACATACATACATACACATACATACATACACATACATACATACATACATTTTCTTGGCCGCTTTTCCCAATTTAATGGGGTCGCGGTTCGAGCATCCCCCAATGATCTCGATCCTGGACAACAGATTCAAGCTCAACTGGTGGGATGCCGAGCCTCTCGTGACTAAGCCGAGCGACGTAATCACTCCACCTTGTACGAGGACTACCGACAGGTCTTTTGCCGGTCATCCTGGCCTGGAAGACTCCTCTTGGGAGCCTCTCAGGGGGCATGCGGCAGACGTGTCCAAACCACCTGGCCTGAGACCTCTCGATCCGAAGCAGCTGCTCGACGTGGAGACTCTCGCGGATGGCAGAGTTCCGCATCCGATCACGGCGCATTACGCCAGCCACTCGACGCAAGAACCTCATTTCGGCAGCTTGTATCCGCGATCTGGTGCTTTCGGTCATTACCCAAAGATCATAACCATAGGTGAGGGTGGAGAGATAAACACTCTTAAAAACCGAGAGTTTAGCTTCCCGAGAAACTTCCGATCTGGCAACCACAGTTCGCCAAAGTTCCCGCAGAACTGCAGAAGCCTTGGAGATGCGATTGTCGATCTCGTGTAATGGTTAAAGACTCAAAACAAGCCGTTCAGCTTGGTTCGACTGCTTTCACAATCAAGACTCCTCCTGCATCTCTCATCCAGTTGTAGATATATCCTCACCGTAGCAGTGCTCCTTGGGAGGAAGCGAGAATGTAAAAGTCTCAGAAAAGTAGGTATGCCAATTTCGCTTACATCAGAAGAATCTGCAAAAATCTGCAAGAAACTCTACCGACTCGCAAGCGACGGTAAGTAAGCCCTAAGCACTATCCTAGTTGAAAACGGAACTCTGCAGAACTATCTCGTACCTTGTAATTTAAACTTTTATTAATTTTTCCGGCAGAAAAATGAGAGGTTTTACTCAAGCTAAGGACAAACATATTTTTCCTACAAGTAATGGAATGATCATAATACAGTCGACTCCGCTTAATGGAATAGTCACGGGACCAGCAAACTTTATTCTATTATCCGGAGTATTCCAATAACCGAAACCACTCCTGCTTCTTCACACTTTATCACATTTTTTAAAATGGCTACTGTACGGTACCTCCAAAAAGCGCTTAAAAGAAATGTGTGATCTTCTTCTGCTTCATCTTGGCAGCCAGCACATGACGTTGGACCTTGCTCTCTAGTTGATA